CAAACAATTCAGGAGTTACAGGAACGAATAGTCAGAGCTTGCCAAGAGTTGAATCCAAATTTCGTACGAAATGCAGTACAAAGGATTCCATCACAGACTTGGTTATTGCTTGGAACAGGGAGGCGGTCATTTCGAATATTTGTTATAAAATTTAGTTTTTGTTTTATAAAATTTTTGTCGTATTTATGGTTTTGTTTATTGTTGAACATGTGCATAACACGCTGTAGTTTCGGTGAAAAAGCTCTGCTTTACTCAAACGATTTCTCGTGGTTATGCAACCAACAATGTTCCTGCATTGACAGCGTCGTTTTAAAACTATGTTCAGTTTTAAAAAAAATGCCCGGTATACGAACATATAGTTCTTTGAACAAATTTGTATCATTTTAAAAGATCATTTACGTAAATAAATAACATAAGTGTCAATTTTTCAACCTACTAGATTGTCATCAATGTTTTATTTCAAATTTTTCAAGTATTGATTTTAGAATAATTAGTTGCTTTCGATTTTTCCACGGGAAGTGATAATAAAAATGTGAAGTTGCCCTTACAAAGATTTTTTAAAATGATACAAATTTGTTCAAAGAAATACAGGTTTATCTTTAAGAATAAAGAAGTTACAGGGGTTGTATCAAATTAAAGCAACACCCAGTATATATTATAAACATTATGACTGAAAATTAAAAGTGATTAACACTAGCGTTTCTTTTATTGACAGTACTGTCAGTTTCCCTTATAAGAGACCAACAGTAACACATTTTCGTCCCAAAAACCTTGTACCTTATTTTTAAGCATATTTGAACAGATCTTCCCGCTTTAGGTACTATAATTTTACCACAAACGTAACAAAATTGATTTGCACTTACTTTGCAATCTTACTTTGCGATCTCGAAGACAGGTAAAAGCAAAGTTCATTATTTTGGATTTATGAAAAAACCTGACGGGATAAGGATTATCCGTTTTTGGATTTGATATCAGTAAGTAATTTAGAAGTAAAAAATATTTTTTTTTATTTTTGGATATGAAAAAAAGTTTAAATTTGTAAACTAGTGTTATCTTTCAGAGATTGCATCTCACAATCCATGGCTTCTTGCCATAGTTCTCTCTGATCTGACTTCATGGCTTCACTGTACGTTTCTGGTTCCTGAAATGTCGAAAGATACAGCGTGTATGTCGTCATATCGGATCGGAGCTTCAAGATTTCAGCGATCGCGTAATTGTCGAGGTTTATTGATACTATCTTCATCAATGGGTTCTGGTGTTTTATTTTCATCACTATCCGTACTTTCTGCCTCGCTTTCGAGTCCCCAAAAGGTTTCGTCTTCTTCATCAGTTTCACCGTTTTGTTCAACCTGTTTATCATCATGCGTTAAATCGCCATGTTGATCAGAAAGTTCGATGTTTTCTAGAATTACTACACCTCTCCCTTGGTGTAAAGTTTTCTCCTCAAAGATGACATCTCTTGATCTGATGAGCTTGCCCTAGTCTTCACAGTAAATTCTATATCCATCATCGTGGTCGTAGCCGACCAATGTTTTTTTGATGGCTTTTCGATCCATCTCCATCCATCCATCCATCCATCCATCCATCGAGCCTTTGCTGTTTCGGCATATGAACATAATACGTGGAACCTATTATCCGTAGATGTTTCAACCTTGGTTTCTTCCCATACCAAAGTTCATATGGAGACGTCCATGCAACACTTGAAGGTCCCGTTCGATTTAGGCTGTAATTCGCTGTGCGAATCATTTCAGGCCACAGACTCTGTTGAATGTTTCCATGAACATGCATTATCGCTCTAGTAGTTTCAACAACTGTGCGATTTTCTCTTTCACTTGTTCCATTTTGTTCTGGAGTATATGGCATCGTAAGGCGGTGGTTTATACCTTCTTTTTGTAAACTTCTCCTTACTTCTCTGTTGTTGAACTCTTTTCCATTATCACTCAACAGTTCCTTAATTAAATGTCCCGTGGTGTTTGTTTCTGCTATAAATTGACTTAGCTTTTCCGCTACTTCTGACTTCTCTTTAATAAAGTAGATAGTCCTGAATTTTGTCCAATCGTCTTTTAACAAAACAAAATACCGAAAGCCTGACATTGATTCTTCAACTGGCCCACAAACATCTGTGTGAATCCGCTCTCCCGGCTTTGTAGTTTTTTCTCTGGTACCGAAAGGTAGACGATGAGCTTTCCCATAGATACAACCTTCACACAGTTCACTGTCCATTTCCACCGTAACGTTGAATTCTCTGTCCAGCAGGGACTTCACGTGTCGTTTATTCTGATGTCCAAGTCGTTCGTGGTATAGCTGCAAAACATTCTTTGACATTTACTTCATTGGAGACGTAGGTTTCACGCTTCTCACTGCCAATTTAAAAAGTCCTCCATAACATTTTTGTACCCCGACTAACACTACATCTTTGCCAACTTTAAAATTTCCAATTTCTGTGGTTGAAAGAAACTGACTATCTGGGTGTTTGTCGTGTACAGCTAGAACAGAAAACAGATTTTTCTTTATTTCAGGCACACACCATACATCTGTCAGAGTGATCCTGTGCCACTTGCCTCCGATAGCTGCCTCTATGTCAACTTCACCTTTGCCGATAGCTTCAATTCTTTCACCGTTTGCCGTGGTTACTGAGTGTGCTGTTGTGAATGGCTGAAGAGTTTTAAAGTAACTTTTGTCGTTTGAAATATGATTTTAGCGCCATTGTCTACATACCAATCATCTGCACCACATTCTGAATTCATCACTGGCGATAAATCAAAAGAAGCATGTTTGAAGTTTGTTCTCGCTTGTTATCAAGTTTTGGAGGTCTTCCATCCGCAATCCACTTTCTGGATACTTTTATAACATGGTTAGGTTTCTTACAATAGTTGCAAAATATCTTCTTCTTTTTCTTCTGGTCGGTCGAACTTACTTATGTAGTTCTTTTTGATGAGTCCAAAATGAGAGCTTCCTGTCCCGATGATCCATTCTCATTGTTTTTTAAGGCTCGCTCATAAGCACACAGTTGATTTGTCAAATTATCAACCGTTCTGTCACTTTTTGACATCATCATCCAACTTGACTTGAAGTAGCGTACCCAAAATTTTGCAAATCAAAAACAAATCGGGCAATTCTGTATTACCATCAGTGTCGTTTCTCATTTCCACTTTTAACTCGCTCCATGGATTCTTTAATTTTGATATATGTGTAGCCATATCGTCGCTGGAACATTTTTTGAAACTAAAGAATTGTAGACACAGGTTGTACACTTTGTCTTCTGAAACACCATCAAAAAGTTTGTGTAATTCTAGCCATACTTCCCTGGCACTGGTTAATCGCATAATTTTCTTTAGTTTCCTATGTCATATTATTTGTCAAGATAATCAATGCATTGCTCTCTGTTTTATTAAATGCATCAAGTGAAGTTTGGTACGCCATCTTTTCTTCCGGCTGTGCACCATCATCTAGTGGACTAGGCTTCACTGACCTGCCTTCAATGATATCCAGAGCTCCTGAAATTCCTCGTAGACAAATAGTAATTTTGTACTTCTACGTATCCCAGTTCGACTTTCCTTCCAAATAACCGACATTGATGATTCTTGTTGGATCCATTGTTCTACGTCTATGCTTCTTTTTAGTACGTTTTGGATAACCTTAAAATCAGCCTCGTGGAGATATCTTTCAAATAGTTTTCAATATTTGACTTTTCGTTTGATATTCATGTTTTTTCCCACTTAGCTTAGCGTTCTGCGCCCATAACCTGTTACGATTTTTCGACAAGAAAACCAGCCAAATAATATAATCATCGACTTGTACACAGAAGAAGTATATTGCGAATACCATAGACATTACAAAAATAGCCTCCTTACTATAAGGCTATTAAATACAGAGTCATCAAAATTGATTGAGAGAGTTGGTAAACCTGAACTTGAATAATTTGGTTTATTAAGTTGTATAAAAATATTAGCTGTCAGATTTGAAGTTTCAAGTTTCAAATTTCAAAACTCAGTGGCGTCTTTTTTCGACTTTTTTTTTGGTAAAAACATTAGTTGTCAGATTTGAAGTTTCTAATTTTTGTCACGCCACTGAATTCATTGCCATATAACCTTAAACAAATCTGTCATAAGGTTGACAAACTTCACGACAAAAATAGGGGGTACCAACTCTCTCAATCAATTTTGATGACCCTGTACATAACAAAATTAGATTAAATACGAATTACATTACATGAACACTTTAAACTGAAAAGATTAACTGTAAGTTAATAAACAACGGTATTGACAGCGCCATCAATACGTCACAATGTTCACAGTACCCGAGTATTTTAAGGTTTTCTTGGCAACGGAAAGTTAAAATGCACGTGTGCGGGAAGTTCGAACTCCCACACCCTGGTGAATGCGCGTAAGCCGTCAAAAAAGGTCATGAGTGCAAAAACAATATTACAGTATTGATCTACAAACAGTTACTGATTCAGCGGTAAAAATAAAATAAGAACAGTTTTTCAGGATTAAGGTTGTTCGCTTTTGCTTTTCTGCCAGTCGTCCCTTCTATTCCCAAGTTTAATAAAAGTCCCGCCCTCCTTCTCTCATTGATTTTTAAATCATTGAAAACATAATTATTACCTCTTCATGTTTATTTTTTATTATTATTTGAAATTACTATCGACGTCAATTCATCTTCCACATGATTACTTTACTCGATTACTTTTTTCTTATGTTTGAGATTAGATCTATCAATTTATTCTAACTTAACTTACCCGGTAGTTATACTGCTATAAATTTAGGCCAAATTATACTTAAGCAAACTCTAACCACATTCAAAATAAACAGTACCATTATTTTTTTTTTAATAGGTTCGTTAAAATTTTTGCGTACAGAATACGGCTCTCTGTTTATTGAACTAACAGGGTGTTGGTACTAGTGCGAACGCTTTCGAATGCGCTCGTGGTAAAAATTCTGTTACGTTAAATTTTGACCATAAAATGAAATATCAATAGTAAATTCTACAATACTTACTAGTAAAAATAAGAGGTCCATTTGCTGTCAGGTGCTGCATTAGTGCTGGTAGTGGTCGGTAAACACTGTAGTGAATAATTTTTTCCATTATTATTGTCCCAAAACTGGCAACCTTTGCACTGAAATCGTATAGCAAATTCTAGTTTGTCTCCCAGGGCTAAGTTATTTCCATAAATTGTAAAACAAAATTTATCAGAAAATCCATCACAAGAATTTTCCACGTAAATTGCCTGTACATCAGCAAAGCTTTTCCAAGAATCTACAGTATATCTAACATGTACAGTTTTATGAAAATCTAAATTCTTTACTCTCACGAGTCCTTTAAAAGTGGGTATTGCAGAATCCTCAACTATTACATTATCTAAACAAATTTGATTGTCACGTATACGATCCATAAAATCAGGTTGGCCTCCTGGTTGTGAAAATAATGGGACCAATACCTTTTCCAATTGCGTGCTGTATTGTTTTTGTGAAGAAGTTGAACTTAAAGATGACGAAGACGTTTTAACATCTACATCCATTAAATCATTAAAAGCTGAATTGGGAATTTTTGGAATTTCATCTAGAAAAGTTCTTACATCTGCCAAATCCAATCCTAAGACATCCGCGAATCGGACAATTTTTTTTCTACCAGGTGTTTCCGGAGGCGTCTTACCCGTTTTTAAGGACGAACACCGTCTTACCCTTGGGATTTTTTCCTCGATTTCATTGTGGTCATTAGAAACAGATGCAAATAAGTTCTCCGTTTGAAAAATGGCCTCCTTTTCAATATTGGAGGATTGCGACCTGTCCTTGTTTAACTCTAGTTTAGAATCGTAAATACTTGTATCATCACAATTTTCATTCTTCTCTTGAAATACACCGTCAGCAATATGCATGTCTTCTTGGTTAAAAATATTATATTTTGGACTTTTTCCACTAATAATTTCACCGTCAGTGTTTGCTGTAGGTTCATTGCATACATTATTAACACATGTTGCACTACCATTACATATATCCTCAGCAAACAAACTAAAATCACTTTGACAGTCATAAAAAGGACCATCACTCGAATCACTATCATAGTGAGAAGTTATTACATGTTGTGGTAGACCATCTTTGTTTTGAGACGCTGCATTAATGATGGAGTTTAAATGTTCAGTATCATCTAGCTCTTCACCAGGGCTCTCTGATGTAACAAAATTTAAATAAAAATCTGTAGTAAAAGTATAATCACAACTGGGTTTAGGTTGTGATACAGTTAAAGTATCGTTAGAAGTTGAAAGCCAACTGTTTTCGTTTAACTTTATATTTTTTTCTTTAGAATCCAAAGACGTTAATCGAGAATGAAGTCGGTTCGCAAAAGCTTCAGCTCGCTGACGACAAGACATGGATAGCAGCGAATTTAAATTACAATTGTCTTCACCTGATGTCATTTAATATTTTTCAAAATTCCTGAAAAAAAAAAGTTTGTCAAAAAAAAATAAAACGGAGACAAGCTTTTTATAAGTAAACCCTAAGAAATAGCTATTTTTTTCCGACCAGCGAGCGCTCAGACCAATGCCGACTCTAAGCGCTCAGAGCCGATTAGAGAGCTATCAGCCATGCTCCGGCAACGCTCGCTAACTTTCTTTAGAGCTGATTTTATACACATCCACTGCAAGGAAGTAACCGGTTTCGAATTCCAAGAAATAATTCATTTAATTATGTTTGAAACTATATGTAGCAATATTTCTAAAATTAACATCACTGAGACTGTAACCATACACTAATTTTTTTTGAGAAAGTGTAGATATTTTTATGTGTTGCGTAACATTATCATCTACTTTTAGATGAATATTTGAATATGTTTAGTAAACATTTTTGGGGCTATACATATTCGATACATTCTATGATATTAACACTGGGAAAAGTTTTAGCAATAATGCAACAAGTTTAAAAGGCCTTCAGTGTTATTCGTTTATTTCTTGATTTCGTTTTGTTTTAGTTTTAAACTTAGAGCAAAATCTTTTATTGTTTTAGAAGTCTCACTACATGTTCTGTAAATTCAATTTCTTTAAAGTCAGTAATTGAAATATTTTACATGATATAAATATACTATGTATATGGAAGAACAAGGCATCTGTTTATATTAACATTTATTTGACTTAATTTCAATTAAACTGCTTATCTGGTAAGCTGTGTAAGTGGTGCAGAAATTTGCATAAAATCGATATTTTTATTAGAAAATGTACAATACGCCATATTTCTCACTCCCTGCAAAACAGAAGAAATAAAAGAAAAATTTGTGAATCTGCTCCGTTTTTCCACTATTTGTTTTCTTTGAGATAGTGCTTTTGTCGAAGTGATATAGCAAAAGCTTATTTATTTAGAAATTCTCCTGTAACTTCCTGCGATGTGGAATGGTGTTTTTCATTGTATAAAAACATGTTAGATATTAATAAGGGACAAAATTTTCTTGTTGAAAATTAAATACAATAACACACGATTATTAATTGTCTTAAAAATAAATAATATCAAGAACTTGTACTATATATTAAAAACATTCATTGTAAATAAGTAAATTATGTAAATAAACCATAAAACCATAACAATTTTTTCCTACGGCCTTTATTCAAAATGCCAATTTATGCAGAGGAATTAAGGCGCAAAGATGCTTCACTGCATTTATTACCAACGATTTTTCGAGAAACGTATGCAATAGCCTACAAGCGTCTAATGGATTGAAACAACAAGTAATAATAAATAATTTGTTTGTATTATTTATTCATTATAATAATCCCATTTATTTACCAGAAACTAATCTAGTTGACTAGAAATTTGTGTTAGGCTCATCTGGGAACGTTTTATTACTGCAAGATCTTTCGCTTGGCCCGTATGCCCAGGTAGTGAACAGAAGTATAGTAGGTAGGTATCAATAGAATAATGCGATTATACTAACCCGGAATGCTCTCAATGTACAAAAGTATGTTAGATAATAAGCGACAAATTTTCTTTGTTAAAATTTAAAAAAAAGACAATTCTTATTATAAATAAAAATAAACAATATCAAGAAAAAAAATGAAAAATGAAAGTAAGTTGTTTTCCTGACAATATTCCTCATTGACATTAATAATTAAGTTCTATTATAGGTGAGTTTAGCAGCAGAAACTCTTAGCAAAAGTGTTGCGGATGCACTTGAATTTTTAAAAGATCTTGGTGTTGGTGACTTTCAAGGTTGTGAATGAAGCAACAATAGAATTCATCAGAAGGATAGATTCTTTATTTGATATTCTCAATTCCCGAAGTGTACGTGCTAAGAATTTTAAGGCATCTTTGAGAGAAAACAATGAAGAAATGTGGCATCCATTTCTCACTGATACCAATGAGTATCTCCTAAATTTGACGGATGTCACTGGCAGGCCTTTGTGGTGCACGCCTAGAAAAACGTCAATTCTGGGCTTTGTTATTTCCGTTACTTCGTTCATGGGAATTTTTGATGAATTTGTTAGTAGTAAGAGGTGGAATTACTTGCTAACATATAAATATAATCAAGATCATCTGGAAATTTTCTTCTGCTTACTGCGGCAAGCTCTTCAAAGAAACAATTGTATTACGTTTTTCATGCACTGGAATTACACAAATCTGTCTTTATATTTCTGTTTTCAGATCGAGAAATGGGTGGAACAATAACCCTACTCCTCTACAATTTTGTAGAATTTTAGAAGATTGCTTCTATTTACAAACATAACGGGGGAAGGAGGAAATTGTAAAGTGCTTTGCACCACCTCTATGCTCTCTGTTAGCAGTGGCCCTAAGCAAAAGAGCACAGATGTTGAACAATGGGTTGACGTGTTTGTCTTGAAAAACTATGGCCTCGATATTTTGACTGAAGCACTTGCAGACCATGACTATGACTGTCTGCCTAATTTTATTGGGGTGAGTGAAGTAGCAGAAAACGTTGTGGCATATATTGGTAGCTATGTTGTCAAAATGGTGGTGAAGACGTTTAAGTGCGCAGACTGCATTTCTTCTTGCATTGAAACACGAGGAAGTGACTTAAAGTTTTACAGATTATTGGACAAAAAAAAACATGGGTAAAATAAAATACTTACAATAGTTATTTTTTAAGTCTTAACAAAATTTTGATTTTTGGTGGGCTTATTAAACCTTTTGCTGGGGTTGTAAAGATTTGTTGTTATTGTGAGTTGCAAATACGAAAAATTTTGCAAATCACCGATAATAAACTTCCAAGGGATGAACAATTTTTTAAAACTGTTGGCATAGCTTGGGCGCAGAGATTCTACAGCGCTGCCAGCATTCTTTTTCCTAATTTAGAGGACCACGCACTCGAGACGGCGGCCATCGATTAAGGCCATTTATATATTCTTATTAAACAAATAATTAATGCCTACATGTGAATAAGAATGTTTAATTTCAGCAAAAAACTTTCATATCTTGCTCAAGGCACTTCTGTTGGACATGTGTACACAAAATTGATACTGTTTTCGCATCAATAAATATACTGAAGTATAATTATGTTGACTGATAAAATGGCTGCTTTTAATTTTACCAAGGATTTTGTGTCTGCGCAAGTGGAAGCTCATTCTCCCTCTCCATACTTACTATGAGATTCTTACACATTTTTTTCGTCGCACTCTATGGAGTGTTTGCTGTTATGGGGGTTGCCTATGCGCGGGATTGGGGTCCAACCTATTCGACGGCGTTTGACGGCCAAATCTTGGTGCGCCATCTCTTATTCGCCGGCATTCGGCTTGTTCGCTCCAAACAATAGGATAGGTGTATTTGTATGTATTTAATCAATGTTTAGGTTGTACTGCATACAATTTTATGAAAATATTGAACTCCTGACTATGAGGTGAAGATGCGGTAAATCCTATTGTTGGCAGATCTTGCAAACAAACTAGAATACAATTTATGATATTATTTCCTGCGTAATTCTCAGGTAGCCTGTCAGATGTTACGATTCTGGAATTATTTGTTTGGTTTTAAAGTTTATTAAACACTTTTAAACCAAGATGTTATGAATTTTTATTGTATGTTCCTTTCAGATGGTTTCGTCGAACGCTGAGTAATTATTTTCATTTTATTTATAAGTCGGTGTTTATCGTCTGTCTTCCATTCAAAATATTCAAATTACATTTTTGAAGGAATTAATCTTGTCAAAAGCATTGTATTATTTGCAACATGTAATTGTGTTTGAGGACTATGTTTATAACAAATGCAGTCGTGAGGTTTCCAGGGTTTGGATGTACACATTTTTTTGCACCTTAACTTGCAATTTGAATAAATAACATTATAAATGGTGTCCTTAAATATATTCCATAATGTTGTAGGGGAACTAGGGGCTTGTTGTAACAGGGGTAAGTTGTAACACTACGTTTTTACCAGCAATTTAAACTCTTTAATATCAGGTATTTTACTGAATTTAATTCTTGCACCATAAGACATCATGTCATCACAACCACTGTTCCTTGAGCCAGCGCAGTGAGTGGATCTGTGCACATGTTTCGTTTTGGCCAAGTAATGTAAAATATTGCTTTAGTAAAATTTGGTTTTTCGTATCAATTATTAATTAATTTAAAACTTTTAGTTTTGCATGTAGCTCAAAAATTACTCAGCTTTAATATTCCTTACACATTTTGACGCTAAGCCACATAATTTTGTCGAAATGTAATTAAATGTAGAAAATTGTGCTACGGGGCATGTTGTAACAATAGCTTTGGGGCAAGTTGTAACATGTTACAACTTATCCCAAATTCACTTCTACAAATCTCGTACCTAGCATACGAAAAGCGAGCCAAAATTTTGACCTATGCCATATATCGCTTTCCAGATATATTAAGAAAAAGGAAGACAAAACTCAAATCTTTAATGTTGACTCTTCTTCAAAAGGTTTAGTTCAGTTTTACTGAAAAAAAATTGTATATAATGAAGTGTTGTGTTGATTTTTGAAAAATAAAGTCTAAATATGTATCAACATCAGCTTTATTTTTACTGGTACTACCTGTCTCATGGCTGTTACAACTAGCCCCAACCACGGGGCAAGTTGTAACAATGCACTTTTTTTAAGAAAATGCCTGGTGTGAAGTGAAGATGAACAGTTTTGACCTTTTGCCTGTTCAGTCCAATAGGGGAATAGTTAGACTACCGATAGATACTTTTATAATGGTCAAACAGCTAATAGATACCAAATTATATTCGTTTTCCTAAAAACTGTTACAACAAGCCCCTCGTTCCCCTACATCAAAAACAGTGTAAAAATCATCCGAATTCAGGTGGTCAAGGGTAAATGCCACTTGTTTGTAATATATTATTTTGCACGATTCTCTAGTAACTTTTGGAGAAGACATACTTGTAAACTAAATGTAAGTTTATTTTACAGCATGGTCAGAGATACCTATAGGGGCGGAAATATTAATGTCATTAGTTAAGACTAAATCTAGAGTAGAAGG